GGCCCAGAGGAAGAAGGACTCACATGAGGTCACACAGCAAGTCGGTAAGAGGGTGAGGGCCAGACCCCAGGTCTCCGGACCCCCAGGCCAGCCTTCTTCACATACGATCACCTGCCTCATACATACGAGCATCCTTCCAGTGCTGGGTGCGAGCTGCGGATGTCAGAACCCTACCTGCCAAGCAGTGCTAATGAGCCTTCTCTGCTGGGACCCAGGCTCTCGGAGGTGAGAGTATGTGGTTGGGAGGGGAAGGACCGAGTCCAGGAACAAAAACCCTCTTTCTTTCTCCCCATATCTGCTCTTTGCAGTCCTGCTGCTACAATGCCTCTGGACCCAGCTCCAAATTACACACACGATCACTTAGCTCCCCTCACCAGCAAATTAAAAGATTCTCTCCAATTAAACCAGCCCCAGTCACCGTGGCCCGGAGCAAATCACTTCCCCACACTCTGACCTCGAAATGCAAAGACAGCAGGGAGCGAGGGACTCGAGCCCCTGTCCCCGGCAGAGCCCCTGATGCCACCCATACCCCAGGGCAGCTGTCTGACTCTGTCAGCGGGAAGAGATATGCACAGCAGAAGGTGGGGGCACAGCCTGTCGAGGAAGCCCCTGCTTGCCTAGGTCTTGGGTCAGGTCTAAAGGTTATCAGGGGTCACTTCATCTCAGTACTACATTATAAAACGGGGGCAACAGTCTCAGAGAGGGAATCGGGGATCCCATGAGCTGGCTGGCCCCCAAAGTCATGCTCCCCTCTTGTGTGGCTTTTCAGTTCCTGGTTCAGGGTCATTAGCTACTGAACCCAAAACATCTCTATTCTTAACACTGTAGCCTCTGCCTCACCGCACTATAACCCCCATGGCCTCTGTGCTGTCAGAGCTGGGGAATGGCCGCAGGGAAGTGGGACCCGTCACTAGGATGTCTGTCCCCTGGGTGGAGAATATCACACTGTCAGAGCTGATGAGGACAAAGCTATCATTCAGCAAACACAGGCACCCAGCAACCATTTGCCAAATGAAAAAACCAAAAAACAAAAAAAACCCCCAGGGCTGCCCACTTTACAGATTAGAAAATTGAGGCCCAGAAAGTGTGTGCTTACCCAGATCCACTGCCTATTAGCCCTAGGTCTCTACTGCCCTTGGCTGAGTGTCCGTATTCAGGCCACTGTCGCCTCCCCCCTCCATCCCAGAGATGTCCCCATCCCTCTATCACCTCCCCTGGGAAGTTGCCCCTGGGGAACCCCATTCAGTGCCCATTCTGGACACACCTATGCCCAGGCAGGCTCTCCTGGCAGTCCCTTACTCACCAGCAAAGTCTGCTTGCCAGATTTCCAAGTCTGGGGCTGGGTCTTAGGGCTCTGGCTCCTGATGAGGGAGGGATAGCCTGCGGAAACAGGAGGTGCCGGTCAGAGGGAGAGGGGCTGGGCAGTCAGGGCCTCCAGGACCACAGCAACACGGGTGCCATCTCCAAAGTGACCACCAAGCTCCATCCAGCCCATTACCAAGTGTGGCTACCCCTCAAGAGGTATGCAGCAGCTATGGGGGGGGGCGGGCAGTGGAAAACCCTGGGGAGGCTGGCCAGAGGGAAAAGGCACCCAGACAGAGGGAGGAGGAACAGGCCAGGAGGGTGGGGCCAGGCCGCAGGGGAGTGTGGCCGCCAAATCCAGGTCAGGCTCACATTACTCCCCAAGGATTTCCCCCCACCCACCCTGAAGGTTCACACCACTGGCTCTGTCTCTTCCCATGAGCACAACCTGCCAGCGTTTCCACCAGGAGGCGCCCTTTCCAACTGCCCACGCTGCCTGGACAGGGCTCCATTGTCACCACCGTGGGGACTTTGCACACGGCTTCTCCTTCAGCCTCACCCCGTTTCTGTGAGCTCAGCGGTTGGCCCCAGCTGCACGGCCAAGGGAGCGGCAGTCGGGATGTGAACGCAGGTTTTGTGGGGTATCGAAACCCATCCCCACGTTCCTCCTGCCCAGTTCCTCTGCCTCTGGCCTATTGCGGGGCGGAGGCTGGGGCCAGGGACAGGCAGTAATTTGCCTGGTGGCTATGGTCCGGGCTTAAGAGAGCAAGCCCACGGAGCCCAGAGCACATGGGTGCTACCCGGGCCTGATCCTCCCACCTACCCCACTCCCCTTCAGCCCAGTGGGATCTGGGAGGACCTCTGGACCACAGAACAGTGGAAGGCACTGTCAGCCTCAGCCATCGGCCTGCTGGGACAGTCCGCAGGGCCTGGGGAGGAACGGACTATGACCCGGACTAGAGAAGCTCAAGAAATAAACAGGGTCTGTCCTTGGCTGGGGCAGCCCGGAGCCCTGTTCTGGGCTGCTCTAGAGGAGGATGAGCCGGTCAGGCCCAGAAACCACCTGCAGCCCTGCCAGGCTGCCAGCCAGGCTGACCCTTCTCTTGGTCTGCCCTCCGCAAGAGGGTGGAGACAGAGCAGAGAAGCCAGGTCTCTCCCCGCATCTGGGGGTGGGGGAAGCCTTGGAAAGAGAGGGTTCCACGGGTCCTGAGTGGCAGATGGAGAGAGGGGGGGATTCAGATCTCAATTCTCCGTTCCCAGAAAGAAAAACCCACGCCAGCCATGAGAGAGGGGAGGATGGGGGTGGGGCCGGGGGTGTGGTCCAGGAGACCAGCCTCGTAGAGCAGACAGAAGTCCAGGAGCTAGGGAGGGTGCTGGGGAGGAAGGGGGGAGGGAGGGGTGGTGGGTGCGGGGATGCATCCCTCTTCCAGGGGACTCTGGGGAGGAGGGACCAGGGTCCCCTAGAAGTGGCAGAGAGCCCCATAGGATGTCCCGTCTGCCCTGCTGTGGGAGACACGGGGAGGGAAAACAGGCAGGTACCAGGATTGTTTTTAAACAGCCCACTGCCGTCCAGGGGTTTGGAAAACTCTGTGGCGGCCTGTCCCGAGGTGGTGAACTGATAGGGGACTTTCCCAGTGCCTGCTGGGAGAGAGAGAGGCATTAGCAGCACGGCCTGGTCCCAGGAGGGGCCAGAGGGAGTCACAGCCTTTCACCCGGGCCAGTTATCCTGGCAGCCTTATCCAGCCAGCGCTGAGCATCTCTGCCTCCTTCCAGGGCCGTGGGAGTAGGTGCAGGTGGGGTCCACCCTCACGGCGGGGGGGGGGGGGGGGGGGGGCTGGGGGGGCGCGGTGTGCGGATTCTGCTCGCACACAGGCAGGCACCTGCCCAGAACCCCCATCCGAGGCCATTACCGGCTGGGATGGGCTGATCTGTGTGAAGGCGACCACAGATGTTCCTGGGCTGTTCCTCTGAGGCTCGGTATATTTGAGGAGGGGCTGTCCTCGGGCCAAGCCTTTAACAGGGGAGGTACTGCAGGCCAATGGGGGGATCCAGGGAAGCCTGAAAGCTCCAAATCACACCAGAGGGTGACTGTCTTCCCTGACTGGTGGCCTCTGATCTAGAGGCTTGACCAGAGAGCAGGGAGGGATGTGCTAAGAGGCAGACAAGGCCAGGGCAAGTGCCGGTTTCCTGGGCCTGGCTCGGGGAGAGGACATCCGTGGGGGTCTTGCGGGCTGGGACCCTCCGGTCACATTGCCTTGTAAGGCGAGCAAGGGGAGCTGGTCCTTCCAAGAATCCCAGCCCTGGGTACAGGCTGGGATTCCAGCCCGGAAGGGACAGCTGACTGATAAAGCCACCCTCGGAGGCCACAGCTTGGGGGTCTGCTGCCCTGCACAGCCCCTTTCTCCTCCCCCTCCCTGACTCTGGCCAACCTTCTTATCCTTGCTTCCGGGCCAGATGCTTGTCCGGAGACAGACGGGCTTATACCGGAGTCCACAGAGCTGTCCCTGGGGCCTTTCAGAAGAGACACGAGGGCCCTGGCCAACCTCAGGGGACATGAGTCACTGACCGCTCAGCTTCATCAAAGAATTCTGGGGAGCAGAGTCAGACTCGGGAGGCCTTAGAAGTGGTGTAGTCCTGCCTTTGCGAAAGAAGGCTTCACAGGACTCTGACTCTGCAGCGTGTTGGCAGCTGCTACGTGGCCACAGGGCTCTGGAGTCAACTGAGGCCGGCTGTCGCCGGATGAACCAAGTTAAGTAAACCTTCTGCAGCGGGAGGACTCCAAAGTTAGGCCCGAGGGAAGCACCCTGGGGATGTCAGGGGTGGCAGTGGGCATATGGCATGGTCACGTCCTGACGCTGTGGCTCGTCGTTAGCGGCCATCGCTGGTGTAGCCCGCGCTTCTCTAACAGCAGAGGCACAGGTGGAGGCAGCTCCCTGGCTCTCAAGCCGGGGTCTGTGCCCTACAGGGCGGGCGGCTGGTGAGGGAGGGAGCAGAGACCAGCATAGAGCTCAGCGAGTGACGGGAAAAGCAGGGCAGGGTGGGGACCGCTCACCTTTCAGGGAGAAGGAGGAGCTGCCTTGGACAGCGGGCAGGTCGTCAGAGCTCTGAATGGTGGAGTATTCCCAGACCCTGGAGGTGTAGTTACCTGGCGGGACACGGGAAGAGGCGTCAGACCCGTGCTCCCCCCGTGCAGCCTCGTATGGGGACGCAGAGGGCAGGACGAGACCATTTCTGCCCCGTCCCGCTTCCTGCCAATCCTTCCTGCCATCGAATTCATGCTAAACCACAAGGTGTCTGCACATCCCTGCCCGACCTCAAGGCCGGGACTCAGGTGCCAAGTCCTCAATCAGCGCACAGCACTCTCCCGGGCCGCCGCCCCCACACTCACCGGCACCTCCACCTCCCGGCTTCACCTCCCTCCCCTCCTCTCCAACACTCCACCCTCCATCCAGGCTACCCCTGAGCTCCCCCAGCGCCCCAGGCACAGACACTCGACCTGCTCCCCATCCTCAACACATATGTTGGATCTTCTGACGTCAGCTTCCCTGTCACTCCCCCAAATCTGCGTGTGCCTCGGCCCCAGGCTTCACGTCACCCTGCACCCCTCTTCCCCCTGGGTCCTAATGGCAAGTTTCATCGTCTGTGTCCTCCCCCCCGGGCTCCATGGGGCCAGGGGGCAGGCCTGTCTGGCCCAGCGTCACACGCAGCACCTGGCACTGAGCCCGGTTCCTAGAAGATTTCCTTGTAGGGTTGATGGAGGAATGAACGAAAGAACAAATAAATACAAACACATGCGGACACCCGGGGACGGAAGCGGCTGATACTACTCCTGAAACTCTGCTTGCCGAGTTGAACGGGAACAAGTGTCCGTTTGGAAGTATTGCCCCGTAGTCTAGAGGAGGAGAGGCAGCAGGGAGGGCACAGAAAGAACGGCAGTAGCACCATGGGGACGCTCAAGTCTGGGGCTTCAGAGCCCCCCATGGACGACGCAGCCATCCCGGGCCCTCCCTCTCAGCAGTCCGGACAGCCCCCTCCCTGGTGGTCCTCTCCCACAGCTGCCTGCGTGGGGCTGACGTTGGGGCTTGGCGGTCAGAGATGGCTGGGGCCGCCTGCCCACCCCACCGTGAGCCCCTGCCAAGGGGACCTCGGGAGGGCTCTCCAGCACGGCCCCTGGGGAGCAGACCCACCCAGAGCTCCGAGGGGCCAGAGGCCCACACCCTTTCATCCACTTGTTTGGATCCACTCCTAACACTCTTCAACTCTTCTGTCCACTCTCCATTCCTCCTCTCTTTCAACTTGTGTTTGCTGAGCTCCCCCCTCCAGGTTTGCAGCAGTGAGCCGGACACACCCAGCGTCTACCATGCATGTGGTAGTAACAGTGTGAACCCAGTCCTGACACAGAGGCCTGGCCAGTGCCCTGTCCACGGGTGCCCTTGACCCTCCAAGCCCGCCAGATCTCTGAGGGCCCGTGTCCTCGCCGAAGAGGTCCCCCACCCCCTTCCTCACCTCTTCAGACCTCCCGGTGCCACATCCGAGGTGGGGGTTCTGGTGGAGATGCCCCAATCCCCTCCTTCCCTGCACATGGCTGGCACGCACCTCAGAGCCTCCCGGAACCTGGGTTCTTGGGGTGCATGGCCCTACCCTTGGCATGACGGTGCCCTCGGTGCACCGGGCAGAGGGGTCTCTGTGTTTGGCAGCTCTCCCAGAGGAAGCCACGTCTCCGCCCCTAGTTCACCTTCTCCGGGGCTTAAGGGCATGCCACTCACCTCGAAGGGTGGCAATACCTCCCGGATTTCCAGGGACGGCCCCAATTCATATGATGCCATCCTCTCCCTTTACAGTTACACTAGTCTGTCTTAACCACCGTGACTTCTCCGTGCAGAAGTGTCCAAATCCATAAAGGACCGGGTCCCCCTCAGGTCCTTGTGTCCCCATGCTTGCTAAGGGAAGCTTCTACACCTAACCCCAGCTCCCAGTCTCCCTGACTCACCCTTCAGGGGGAGGAAGATCGTTTGGACTCAGCGATGCCCAGGTGCCCGGCTGCCTCTCCGTAGCCCAACTAATGAGGTCACACCCGCCCCCCCCCACACACACACGCACACGCACACGCACACACTCTGAGCTCATCAGGCCCTCTCCCACCTGTCTCTGGGCCCCTAGCCCGCCTCAGCCCCCACATTCGCCCCACATCACGGGCCCTGCCCATCTACACACTGGGCCATTCTCTCACCTTTGGTGCCATAGAGATTGTTGAAGTTCTTCTGGTTCGTCTCCTTGGAGAGGCGGCTGGGGGACCCTGGCTGGTACGATGTCCTGGCCCCACCTGTGAAGCAGATGAGCAGGAACCATCATTGCAGAAAGGTGGGTCTGGTTCAAGGCAGGCCCATGGCTCCTGACTTGGGGGTTATATGGGACTCCTGGTCCCCGAACAGCCCCCACTGCCCGTCTCAGGACCTGGGTTTCACCACCAAGGTCCTCTGGGTCTAGGATAGGCAGTCACTTAATCTGCCCTCCAGCCAGGACACTTGAGCAGGAAGGAGGGCTATTAAGTATGCAAGAACACAGGTGTAAACCTGGACAGACTGGGGCGTATGGTCACCCTACCCAGGGGGCTTTGAAGGTCACCAGAGGCTGGAAAAGCCAACACTTCCCTCCTGAGCCAGTCCCCTGTGTGAATGAGACCCCAGAGGCCAGGAAATGAGGCGCCCTTGAGGAAGGAGGATCACGGCAACCGTGGAGGGGGCCCAGGCATCAGGCCCTGGGCCAAACGAGAGCTCTCCAGAGATGGCGAGCGGGTGCCCGCAAACACCTCTCGGGTGCTTCCCCGTCCGGGGACAAGACCTTACACTGCACGGCAACCTCCAAATTCGGGTTCCCACAATCTTGAGAGGACGGCAGACTGGGACTCATACCCCCACCTCACAGGTGAAGAAAACACACTCCCCATATGTGCCAGGGTCCTTCTTTCGGCCCCTCCCCTCCCACCTAACCAGCACCTGCTGGTCCTTCTCTAAACCCCTGTGCCTGTGGTTCCTCTCACCCAGGTGTCCTCTGTCCGTCACAGCCACGCCTCTTTACTGAGCACACTGCCCGTGTCGGGGGCCTGGAAGCCGACCTCCACCGGGAAGTCTCCCTGCCCGAGCCCACTGCCCCGGGGCCCCCAGACTCATGCCAGTGGCCCTCGGGTGGGCCTTGCTTCCCCGATCCCCTTGCCGACTCTCCCTGGCCCTTCCTTTGCCTCTACCCCGAGCCTGGGAGCTCCCGGAGGGCAAATTTCCTCCTTCCTCCTGTCCTCCGTGCAGGGGCGGGGACACCGGATGAACCTGTTTCTTCCACCTACTAATGTCACAGCCTGACTCAGTGACAAGCTGAAAGGCTTCCTAGCATCTGAGCCTAATCTGTCTCCTCTCAGAGGGGGCAGTGACCAGGCCAAGGTCACCAGGTCCTGGCTCTGGGACAGCCCCTTGGCAGCTCTGTGCTCCTCCCTCCACCCCTGTTCTTGCTCTGCTCCCCTCCCCACGACCAGACTCACGGTGGAACCCACACTCTCCTTGGTCTTCCACAGAGCAGGGGATCCCAGCAGGGGCCAGCCAAGGGGAATGATCGATGCACACCGGGGTCCTCAGAGGGACCAGCTTGGGCAAGGGATGCTGGGGAGGCTGGTTAGTGCAGCTCAGCCACTGGCAGACCTGGGACAGAGCCCCGGGAGGGGAAGGGGCAGGCCTCACCAGGAATGTGGGGCAGGGGGCACCCGGGGTGCCCAGCTGCCTCGCCATGCCTCTGCCAGAGCCCAGGTGTTGTTTTCAAGTTGGGTGGAGCGCAGAGTTTTCTCCCGCTGAGCTCATCTCTCTAAATCCCCTACGCCCTTCCCATGGCGTGTGTGTGTGTGTGTGTGTGTGTGTGTGTGTGTGTCTGAGGTGTGTGAATCAGCGCTCTGGCCTGGAGCCCCCCCCTCCCCAGTTCCCTGCGCCTTCCCCACGTCTCCGGTCTCCTTTCCCACCTTTCCCCACACCCCCATTCTTCTCCCGACGCCCCCCACCCCCACTCACACACCTTCTGTCTGAGGGCCCACAGGCCTGGCACACCCACCCTTACGTAACGGGCATTACCGTGGTTTGTTGCTAGTGCAGAAGAATGCGACAGGCTACCTACCGCCCCGGGCGAGGACAGGCAGGCTCTAGCCTATACCCCCACCCGGCTGGGACCGTCCAGGCCCAGAGAGGGAGGGCCAGGCGGCAGGCACGGGAGAGGTGAGGCAAAGTGGAACCAGCCATCGGTCTCCCTGCTCTTGAGGAGCAGACTGGCTCTGGAGGAGCCAGCCTCCCACGGGACCACAAACACTCAAGCGGAAGCAGAACACGGCTCAGGCCTGGCAGACGGCTGCTGGTGAAAACAGCGGCCAGGGGACCCTCCGGGAGGAAAGGCAAGGAAGGGTTCGGACTGGAGGCAGGGACCCTCCGGAGGGGAGGGAAGCCGTGAGGGGCAGGGTGCCAGCAACTTATCTCTAACCCGGATGCTTCTGAGGGTGAAAGAGGGCACCGTTCGAGGTTCTACCGGGACAGCGGGTATGTCCCAGGACTTCCCGAGGCAAACCGAGTGACGGTCACTCGACCAAGGCGGAACCCGGCTGAGTCTCCGGGCCCGTGGCCCGCAACGGCAGGGTCTCTCCCTTACCCTTGGGCGTGAGGTACATGGAGTATCTCTTCATGGCATCAGGCGCACTCCACTCGCTCGTGTAGCTGTTAGCGTAGTTGTTCATGTAGCGGTGGTCGCCCCCTGGGAAGGAGAGGGGTCAGTCACCAGAGGGGCAAGTGGAGAGGAGAAGCCGGCCCTTGGGGGCATCCCTGGGCTCTGCTGAGTTGGCCCATAGCCCCTCTGTCCCAGGGAGAGGCAAGAGTCTCCGACCTCAGAGAAGGCAACACCCTGCCCTCTGCTCCTGAGCTCCCAGGAGGCGAGAGAGACTCTACAGTGGGACATCTTTCTCCCTGGACTGAGCCTCGGCAGTAAGGCCACAGGGACAGCACCTTGCAGTTGACAAGGCGCTGCCGATCTCCGTTTCTTCTTGGTTGTGTACATCCTCATGTGACAGACAAGGAAACTGCGGCTCAGGAGGTAAGTGAAGCCACTTGCCCAATGTCACATGGCCCATAAGGGCAGCATTGGGGTGGGAGCCCTCGTCCCCACTTCCTCACTTCGTCCCAGCCACTGTTGGTGGCCCGAGGGGATGGAATGACGTCCTCACGCTGACCCCCATGGCCAGGGATCCAGCTGGCTGAGCAGAGGCACGCAGAGGGGAGTGAGCTGAATGGGAGGGGCACTGACTCTTCCCACCCCACCCCCACCCACCAGTAAACCCCCAAACCCAAACAGATCTGTGGAGCCAAGCTCGCCCTCCCCACCCCATTCCTTCCTCTCGCCACTTCCCCATCTTCTACTTTCCCTCTGCCCTTCCCTCTCCCTCTCCCCGGGGCAAGAGAAGGAACGAGAGGAGGCTCAGACCCCCATCCTGTATCTCCACCACCTGTGCCTAGCAGGGGCCTGACACACAGTAGGCTCTCCTAGGTATTGGCCCAGCCCCCACCCACCCTTCCACCACCATGGCAAGCCCCGGATGAAGGCGATCCGGTGCTTCTTAGTCTCCGGGCCTAAGGCTGAGTCCCTGGTCCGATGGGCAGGCTGGCATCCGGGAGGAGAGGAGGTCTGACTCACTGGCCACCCACCCATTCCCCCCCGGCCACCCCGCCCTAGCCAGGGACACTCCCAACAACAACACAGCAGCGACCAAGAACCGACTCGGAGGCCCAGGGCCCCGGGCACAGGTGCAGGGCCACTGACATCAGCAGCACCACCACCCTGCTCCTCGCAGCGCCTCCCTGCACACTGTGCACCGGGCACGGGGCCACACCTGCACAGAGGCCATGGCCAGCACGGCCATGACCTAGAGATGGCACGGCGGGCGGGTGGGCGGTAGGGCTCACGGGCCACCCTGACCCAGTCAGGGCCACCCTCGTTGGTCTGGCCAGACCTCAGATGAGGGGCTCTGCCCTCGAGGTCCTACCCCAGGGACCGTGATCATCACACTCCCCGACCCCTCTGCACAGCCACCAGCAGCGGCAGCTTCTCGGAAGGGAAGACGTGGAAAACTGAGTAGCTGAGTGTGAATCCTAACTACATCCCCTGCTTAGCTGTGCGCCCTTCGGAAAGCTGCTCCTCCGAGCCTCAGCCTTCTCGTCTGTGAAATGCAGTCCATCCAGCATGGAAAATAAGCTGCGGTAAGTGGGGAGCTCCCACAAGGCCAGCACACAGGGAGTACTCAGTCACTGTTAGCCATCGCCATCGGTGTCGTCGCCGTCGTCATTAGGAGGAGTTCAGGATCTGAATGCCTCTTGAAGCCAAGTTATCGTCTTGCTGCAATGGCTCAAGAATCCTCAGATGTGACTGAATGTCCCTCACATTTCACAGGGACACCGTGTGATGGCACCATCACCAACATATATAGGTGCCCCCCTAAACTTCAGCACATCTGCACGCCGCTATCCCCTTGTCATTCCCAAAGAATCACATGCTCCATCTGGAGACAAGACAGGGACCACTCACTTCCTTTGGGGTGTTTGGAGCCAGAAGTGTCCTTAAGGCCCTGTGTTGGGCCTGGGCCACCGGGTGGGGCCTTGGGAGGAAGCGCTCTGGCTTCAGGCCCTGGAAGGACTAGGCTGGGCTGGTGAGAAAAGACTTAATGGACTAGTTTCTCAGATGAGGAGGCTCTCTATGAGACGACTCAATTGGCCTCTGCGGGGGACAGCATGACTCGGAAGAGAAGCTGACTTCAGGGGAGCTGGTGAAGCACCGAGACACATGTATCACATTGTCCCCAGCCAGCCCATCAGGCCAGGTCTAGCCTCTGGGCTCAACACCACTCAGTGTAGCCACAGTGACAGGTAAGCTCTCCCTCCAAGCATGATGCGGTTCTGGGTCATGTCTACTGGAGTCTGCAAAGCCACCAGGTTAGCGTCTGGCCCTTACAAACGGCAGCATCTGCTTGCCCACACAGCTGTTGGATTGAGCTCCATAATCAGATGTAGACCTGAATGAAATTAATCCCTGAGTTTGATGGATGACCCACCGAGAGGAGGCATTTGTGCAGCCAGTGCCCAGACGCTCGCTGCCCTTGAGGGCCCTTGTAATCACTGCATGACCTTGGCAGCAAGTTCAATGGAGGCCTACAATCCCTGAATCCCTCGGGTAGGATGGGTGGTTTGGAACAATGAGGGGCTGGCTGGCTAGGTGCAGGGATTGGCCTCAGAGGAAAGTGCCCGTGGCCGTGGGACCTGCCCACAGAGGGACCTACCGTTCTCCATGTGATTCCTCTCAATGAAGTTGCGGCTCAGGTCGGCCTTGCACATCTTCTCAACGTGGCGCATGCACACATTGAGTAGGTCATCCTTGAAGTTGCCAAGCGACTGTCCCAGGCCCTCCCCCTCCAGCAGAACGTGGTAGGTGGGCAGAGGTGGGGGGAGGGAGTAATTGCTCATCAATGCACCGAATTCCTACCAAGGAAGGAAAGAAGCCATCAGCTTTCTAGGTCTTTGGGAGCTGGTGGGGGGAGGGGGGTGCTCCTCTGCAGGGGGGCTCTCAGTCCAGCTGGAAGACTCAGTACCCGGAGCCAAATGTGCTGGATTCAAGACACAGCTCTGCTACCAACTAGCCACACTTGTCCTCATAAATTTCTCCCTCCGTGAAATGAAAGGGTTTGACCAAACTCCACTGGGGCTAACAGCTCTGATGGAGCTGGTAGTCAGATATGCGACTCTACGGTTCCCACTTCCACAACTGGACACTTCATCCTACCTCACAGGGGTTTATGAGAGTGACACAAGCTGTAGCATCTTTGGGAGTGAAAGCACTAAGGAAATGCAAGGAACTTCTAGAATGTTCTGGGCCAGCCATGGCACTACCTCTACCTTTACGTGCCATACTCAAGCCTGCCTCATGCTTTGTGCTTCTCCCCTCCCTTCCCCCTCACTGGAGAGTCCCTCCTCTTTCTCAAACCTCTCTGGGCCTTCAAGACCCAGTTCAAATTCCATCTCCTCCACAAAGCTGTCTTAGATTACTCCTGCCTGCTTGCCCTTCCCAGAGCTTCCACAGAATTTATCTCCCGAACCACATGCTTTATCATTTAATTACACACTCTTCTATATTGCTCTCTAATTGTACACATCTTATCTTCCCAGCTGGATTGTAGCTCCTGGGGGGCAAAAACCATATCTTGTACTTTTCTATTCTCCACAGCACCTAGCAGAGTCCTGGGCATGCTGTAGTACCCAAAACACTCTAGCAGTTGGAAGGATGGGTGGAGGAATAGACACACAGATAAGATCAAGGACAACACTTGGGTAGCGCTTACATGCCACTCCCCCATAACCACAGCAGGCATCGCTAATCAATCCCAGAACTCTTTCCCGCTGAGCCCGAAGCAACGTTAATACATATCAACTGAAGTTGATACAAGGTGATATTTGTGTGCCATCTTTAGAGTAGACAGGAAAATGGCTTGGATGGAAAAAGTAAATGGGCAGATGGGATGGAGGATGGATGGATGGATGGATGGATGGATGGATGGATGGTGGGTGAATGGATAGACACATGGGTAGTAGATAAATGAATGACGGACAGATGGATGCTGGATGAAGATCTGGGAAAGCAGATGGAAGAATTGAGGGATTGAATGGTGGAGGAAGTCCTTGTTACCTGCAGAAACAGCACTGAGTCACTGATGCTTTGCATCTGCTCCCTGGTCTGCTTGTCCTCATGCAACACCTTGGCCCTCTCGTCCAGAGCATCCACGATCACCTTCACTTGGTCCACAGCATCCTGCTCCCGCTGCTCCAGGGCAGCCCTCACTTCCTCCTTTTGTTTCTCCAGGTCCCTCACCAGGTCCCGGAAGTTTTGCTCCAAGATAGCCTTCTCGTTGGTGGTGAAGCTCTGGGTCCAGAGTGAGAGGAGAGAAGAAAAAGGCTTTCCATAATTAAAAAGAAACTCCCCCGTGGGATGTATCTTTAGGTTCCCAACCCAGAATCAGAGCCAGGCAGGGTATTTCTACTGCCCCAACCCAGCAAGCCTGTTTGGTTAAGAATCTCATTCAAAGGCACCATTGACATCATCTATTGACAGAGATGGCCAGGGTTTTTTACAGCCCGTTCTTCCTTATCTATCTGTGACTCCTCCCTGGGTGGGTTGACTAGAGCCATCATTCCAACTTTGGGCGATTCCAGAGACCCAGAAGTTCCCCCATGAGTCAGGCTGTGCTCTATGAAACTCAGCTAGAACCAAACATCATTCAGAAAGTGAATTGATGGGCTGTTTATGCAGCCAGGGTCAAGAGTCAGTGATTTCAGACTGTGGTTGGTAGTTACTCAAACCATGGCAGGCATACATCCAGCCATACTGGCACAAGTCAAAGGACAACGTCATGCATTTGGTGGCCGGGTGGTCTGGTAGACAGAGCAGACAATGGAGGGCCCTGGAGGACCGGTTGGCTTTATTTGCTCCACCCCTGGAGGACCTGGAGGGGCTTTATTTGCTAGGATGTTGTCAAATGAGCACAAGGTGATGGACAAGATCCCACCCAAATGCCTGGCCCAGACTTAGAAGGGGAACTGGTGGGGACGCCAGAGGGGTGGGAGGAGCCAGAAGAAGCATGCAGCATAGATGGGGGCCAAGCCTGGCTCCTCGAAGGTGGGACAGGTGGGGTGAGCCCACGGCAAGGCTGAGGCATGGAGGCGGCCCACCTTGATGCGGTCCTTCTCTTTCTGCCACTTCTCAGCTTCGTCTTCAATCTCGATGATCTTGAGCTGCAGCTGTTCCTTCTGCAGCGACAGCTCTGTCTGCAGGGAAGGAGCCAAGGTTGGAGAAGTCGGGGAGGAGGAGCACCAGAGAATCCAGGAGTGGACCCACCCAGGGGGCCGGCTTGGGCAAGGTTCACCACCCAGCCCTTTGGCCTCCATTCTGCAGACATTCATCGGGACCCTAGGTATGCCAGGCACTGTGCCCTTCATCAGGGATCCAGCAACAAGCCAAACACGACTTTGCTATGAACTCAGGCCTCGGGGGCTGGACATCCCAGCTGTGTCTCTATAAGGATTAAACCTCCGCCAGGTCTGTCCGCCCAAAGTGAGCAGGAAGGAGGTTTGTTTATGGGGTTCCCCCTCCTTTCAATGGACCTGTGGCCACTGGGAAGAGGGAAGAAAGCTCCTGTCTCCTTCAAGCTTGGGGGAGCAAGGGACCCAGCCAAGCTCAGCCCAGCCCAGCCCAGCCCAGGGAGTATCCCGTGGCAGTAACAGTGTGCAACGTTTCTGTGCCATGACGTGGGGCCTGTGTTGCAAGCGGGAGCCCAGGCTGCAACCAGCGGGGACTCCTGTCTGGACAGGCACAGCTATAAACCTGTTTACAGGAAAGAGAGTGCAGTCTGCAGTTTGGGCAGGATGGGGACCTCTATTCAGGGTCCCTGGAGGAGGAAGGGGAGACCAGTGAGTGAGGCAGTGATGGGGGGGGGGGGGGGAAGGATAAGAGAAGACAAGCAGAGATTCCAGGGACCCCGCTCAGGGGAGGACACAGGCTGCTGGGGTCTGGGGTGGGTTGGGAAGGGGACCAAGGAGAGGTGCCTTGGGAGGGGAGCTCTGATGGATATGGAAAGTATAGATAATACTTTCCTTCCATTTGGGGAAATGCCTTCTCTGGAAAGCAGCTACCACAGAGACGAAAGGGGAGGCATGAAGCCAAGGCCAAGCTGATTAGGCCAAGCCAGGAAGCACCTCTTTGTTCTGCTGGGCCCCCTGCCAGTGCTCTCAAAGCACCTTCCAGCTCAGAAGACTGGTGGGTGATCTCCACCCAACAGGCAGGAAGACTAAGGCATCTGAGAATGCCTTGGGGTGCTTGCGGTCACCCCACTACCCTGGGTTTTGAACACAGAGTTCCAAGCCTTTCTCCAGCTGCCTCTTTGAGGAACCCACAAGAAGAGTCAAGATGAGGAGGCCACAAACCACTGGGAATGTGAGCTCCGTTGGCACGGGGTCCTGAGCCGGGTATAGACTTCGCCACACGTCACACTTAGAGTGCTCCACCCAGACGACAGGCCGCCACCTGGGGTCCCTCAGCACATGCCCAAGGGGAGTGGATTTGTAGTGGAGACAGCTTCCCTGGCTTTCTTGGAAAGGGTGCCCAGAGGGCCAGGGAGCTGGTGGAGAAGATGGGGAAGGCCCGGGGCAGGAGGTGTGGAGCTCCCTGGCCCCTGATCCCACCCCACACCCGCTCTCTGCCCACGCTCCTGCGCCCTCCAGGCAAGGAGACTCCGAGTTCTCGGTAAGCATCCGCCCCACCGGCAATGGGCTGAAAATCCCGTAACGTGGAAAACGCCATCACCAGAGAGAGAAAATGGTGGTCCGGAGGAAAGAATGAAGGAAGTTGAGGACAGGGTCCAGCCTGGTCTCTGGAAAAAGGCTGGGGAGAAGCCAGGAGCTGATAGACACCGCGGTGCGGGAGCAAAGGAGTAAGACCCCACTGTGGACACGGAGACTCAACCTTCGCGCTCCCTGAGGATGCAGGGCCCGAGAGCCCAGGCCACAGAGAGTAGAGCAGATCCAGTGGCCTGGAAGGATCTGGGTCATAGGAAGAGACAAGAGTCTGGACAATGGGTCTGTGCCAGGCACTTTGCCCATCCCGGGACTGCTGCTGGGTGAGGCCCGAGGTCAAGGGGACAGCTGGAAGCCACTTCCTGACCTGGCTGGAGGCGGGGAATTGGCCGGGCGCTCTCTCCCCTACCTCGGCACCCCCAGAACAAGGCCTGATGGACAGGAAAGCAGAGAAGGAAAGTGCATTCACTCCCACCCCCGGGCCTGTGGCTGGTGGGGGGCAGGGGCAGCCCTCCCATGAACGAGGCTGGGGGATCCAGCAGGGAGCCCACCCACAGCACGGGACTGCGAGTCTAAACGTTTGGATCCAGTTACCGCCGCCCCCAGGCAGGCAACTTAAGTGCTCCGTGCCTCGGTGGCGCTATCTTCCATGGACACAACAAGAGGCCTGCCCCCCAGGAGGTCATGGGAAGAGCTGGGAGCAGGACAGTGAAGCTGTCAGAAGGTGCCCGGCACAGAGAGAGCCCCGGCCTGTGGCCCAGCATCGTGTTGTGTGGGGCACCTTCCGTGGACCAGGAGCCGTGCCGGACGCTCTCGCTCGGGCCAGGCTCGGCAGGGTGAGTGCAGTGTGGCGAGCAGGCCAGCGGGGCACAGGCGAGCGGGGCGGGGGGCGGGGGGCGGACAGTGCGATCAGGTGGGGCCTAGCTGGTGTCCAGAGGTGAGGACCGCAGGTGCGGCCTTGGGATACACAGTGAAGGGTTGCACACACAGAGGCCTGCATCGTGGGGAACAGAAGCCCGGGGGACCCTGGGGAAAGCAGAATGGGGATGAGGGAAGGCCGACCTTGCCAGTGGGAAGAGGTATGACCAGAGAAGGTGAAGGCCAGGGGAGTCACGTGCAGCAAGCAGCACCTGCTAGCCGCTGTGGGGGGAAGGGGGGACATGGGGCTGGGCTGGGGCCTGCAGGTGAGGAGAAGTCTCACCAGACAAGTGTGGATTCGCCGGCCAAGAGAGTGGAAGAACCATGGAGTAAGAAGGAAGGGGGTAGCACAATGGAGAGCGGGGCTGGCAGAGGTGTGGCGAGGAGAGCCAGAGGGGAGGAGGGGGAGGCGGCTGATCTGGAAACATGTGAGGGCAGAGGCACAAGTGGAGCCACACTGTCTGCAGCAGTGGGCGGGAGACTCAGGGCAGAGGAGAGACTGGTCTCCTTCTTTCTTTGGGGCACTGGGGAAGTCGGACACAGGCTGGGAGGGGGCCTCGCAAGACCAGACTTGCAGGACGCAGCGGGATCAGGGAAGGGCCCTTGGCCTGGGAGCTCTGTGCTGCTAGAATGGTCCTTGCTCGCCTCTCTGGGATGAGGGCTACGCTCTTCGGAGAGGAGGGTTTGGGGTGAGACCCCTGGGGACGCAGCCAGCACCTGTGTGGCTCTTGGCAGTTTCTGCCCGCTTGGCAGGGCTGCACGAAGCTGGAAAAGGCGGGATGTAGGAAATAAGATGACGTAGGAAGGCTCCGCGATCCTGGGTTCCCCCACAACACTAGGAGGAGGAACGACACTTAACTGTATTATTGAATATCACCTACACGTCTGGCGTTGTCTCCTTTAACCTGGTGTCACCCCATTTCACAGATTCAGAAACGAAGGCCTAAGAAGATGACGTACCTTGCCCGAGTTCTCACAACTAGAAAGCCGCTGCGGCCAAGATACAACAAAGGACTCAGGTCGTAGTATGTGGCCTCTTCACCTGCAGCCTCTTCTCCGGATCTTCCCGGACAGCGTCCTTCCCCTTCAGTCCTGCTGCTGGGGCCTCAGCTCCCCACCCCTCCATCCCTGTCTGCACCTTCCTCATCACTTCCTCCTACTCCCGGTTCATTCCCTCCACCCTGCCCAGGCCTGTCCCTAAATGCCTCCTTTGTTCCCTTCTCCTACACTCGTCTGGTTGCCTCCCGCTCTGTTGCCCGGGATGGGCACTGGGTAAGCCACCCTGCCTGCAAATCCTTCTGGCCTTGGGGGACCAGAGGTCTCCCTGAGAGCAGAGTGACGGCACAGCAGCCGGTGCCTCCATCCGATGGGGCCCTCAGACACACCCGAGCCAGCGCTCACCTGGACATGTGACCTGCATGCCCCCAGGGAAGGGGGCGAGGAGGCTGTGATCCTCTTCTGGCTTGATTTGACCGCACGGGCCGTTGGCTCTGATATTTGCCAAATGAGCCAGTTAATTGCCAAATTTGTACTCTCAGACAAATGGTAATTATCTGGATAAGGATCTGAAATGCTGGATGGATTTCCCCATTTCCACCCAGATGTCAAACAGCCTGGCATTAGTCTGTCTCACTGAGGCTTACTGTCTCTTCTGCTTCCTCGGGTGTCAGGACAGGGAAGGGGCGACTGGGGGCAGACACAGTACCACCCAGGCTGGTTCCAGACCAGCGGCGGGCCCTTGAGAACGTCGCCCCGCCTGTCCAGGCCTCAGTTTCCTCCTGGTGATGTTGGACGTGATCCCTGACTCCCAACCTGGTTCCACGTTAGAATCCCCAAGGGAGACTTAAAAATACAAGATCCCAGGCCTCAAACCCCTGAACCAGAACCTCCCAGGGAAAGGCCCAGGAAGCAGTGTCATGATTCACCCACCAGGTGACTCCAACTTAAGGATGGCTGTTGGGAGCCACTGGGCACAGTGGCCCCCCTGGAAGGCCTGCCATCACCTGAAAACAAAGTTTAAAATACTAGAGGGGCACCTGGGTGGCCCAGCCGCTTAAGCACCTGACTCTTGGTTTCGGTTCGGGTCTTGATCTCACGGTTTGTGGGTTTGAGCCCCGGGTCGGGCTCTGTGATGGCAGCTGGGAGCCTGCTTGGGATGCGCTGTCTCCCTCTCATCCTGTCGCTTGCACACTCATGCTCTCTCTCTCTCTCTCTCTCAAAATAAATAAACTTCGTTTTGAAAAATGGTAGCGAGGAAACAGCCACCGGAACAGTCCGAACCCCAGCTCTGCCGCTCTGCACTGTGACTTCAGGTAAGTCTCTTAGCACCTTCAAGCCTCTGTCTTCATCTATAAAATAGGTGAAAAGCACACACCCTGTGGGGCTGTTGTCAGGAGTAACATGTAAACATCTGGTGCATAGATGTGTCCATAAAAACGGATGCGTCTCCTGCCACCTGCCGGTCCCTTTCTTCCCCTGTCTCCAAATAGTTCACAGGATAAACTGCTTCCCCTCGGCACCCACAGGCGAGTGCTCCCCCATTCATGCCTCTCCAGGCTGCCGACCCAGAGCCCAGGCCAGACCCATGCCAGGGCCACGCAGCTGGTGGTGCAGAGGCCGGGCAGGTCACCCTCGAGCAGACAGCCATGGGCCAGGAGGAGTCCTCCCTCCCGAGTCGATGCAGCAGGAGGAACTTGGGATAAGACAGGAGGCGGGCCGTGAGACACAGAAAAGGAGGGATATGTACAATGTAATCTCATCAGCCTACTCCAGCCCGTCCAGAGGCAGGAGGGCAGACCGGAGGACATCTGTGGAGCGGGACTAGAACATTCTGATCTTGGATCCACCAGAGGAAGGACTGTCATGCTTCTGCATCAAGTGGCCTTTTCCCCAACACTGCCTCCGCTCAGAGGCTCCAGGGAGAGTTGAAACCCAGGAGATGAGCACCCCCGCAGCCCTGGGTGTCCTTTGCAGCCTAATGCACCCATTCAAGGTAGGTCTAAGATGACCTCACCTGGGCCTTCACCAGCCGGCCTGCAGAACAGGTTCTGGACAGGGCTCCTTGCAAAAAAAACCTGTGTGTGGGTTGACGTTTGGGTCTGCAGGGGATGCTTCCAAAGGACGCCGGGATTGACACGCTTATTCATTTCAATCAGTCAACCCACTAACCCCGCTCTGTGCCAACGTCCCCCATGTCTGACATTCCAGCAGAGCCAGGCCTAGACAAACAGCCGTGCTCCAGCTCAGTCTCCCAGCTGGCTCGCACCACTCCCTGTACCCTTGGCTGCTGGTGCACGCTCGTGCACACGCACACACACGCTGTCTGAAGTTCCCGCCGTTAGTCACTCCGGCGGATCAGAATTTTCCTCTGAAAGCCCCTGTAAAGCACGCGTATCCTGGATCCCATCCCCTCAATGCCCTGCCTCTTAGTTGCTCTCAAATCTTGGAAGAGAATTAGGGGGCTTCTTCCTCTACATGCTGGCACAGATCCCTTTCTCTCCCTGGGCATGTGTCCCTGTCTGCAAGGTGAAGGAGGAGACAGAGGAGACTGCTACAGTCCAGCTGGCCTGGCATTCCGCCCTCTACAAGTTGATGTTGATCTACGGCTGCTTCTGTTGTAACTGGGCGGATGTTCCCCAGGCTTGTTTGTGCGTCTGAGCTCTGCCTCCTGACCTACATCGTGAGCCCTCAAGGGCGAGGGCTGTGTCTCGGAGTCCTGCGGCAGCCCCAGGCACTGGAAGGTGAACTCTTGAGTTTCTGGTGCCTCCACAGAGGGCTGACCAAGACCCTCGAGTCCTCCAGGGGCACTTGGACTTTTCTTAGGTGATACTTTTGTTTCAGACGCACTTTGCGGGCAAACCCTACGTATAAAACAGATAAATAAGAATGTATTCTGCTTGTAGAAGTGGGAGCCGGAAGCCCCTGCCTTCTTGGCACCAATATCTGCCCCCTCCTTGTTGGGGAGGTGTCAAAGACATCTCCAAGAATCCTAGGACTCCATGGGGGAATTTGAAAACCGCCAGTCTAGTCCAACACCTTGGTTTCACACATGGAAAAACCAGGACTGAGAGAGCGGTAGGGACTTGTCCACAGTCCAACAGCTAACGAGAGGCAAACCCCAGGGCTGGACCTCGGTCAGGCCTCCCAGAACCCTCTGCAGGGTTTCGGTTGCAGTGGATGAGGATGATGGCCCTTGCTCTGTTGTGGTTTCCCAGGTAAGCTCCCAAAGGATGGGTTCCACGGCTCTGCCCCAGCCCCGTCTACCAGCGTGAGGCTTGAAGCCAGGCTGGGGTCCGGGCGTTGGGAAACAGGAAACACCTCCCTGGGCTAAACGAGGCCTCTGAAAAGGATCTTTGGGTCTTTCCTCATTTGTAACCCGTCTCTCTCTGCCCAGGGCTGTGGGCACCAGGGGTGCAGGAAGACAGTAATCGGCCAACTCTCGGTCAGGAAGGCTGAGCAGGGAGGAGTCCCGGGCTGCCCCATCTGGATGGTCACAGAAGCTGTTGAGGAAGGTCAAGTCCCCCACATTGAGCACCAGGAGGTTCACGCCGGGGGGGAGGCTGTCCACGGCCACCCGCCGCGTTGCTGTTACAAGAGAGCAGGACGCAGCATCCATGGGGCTTGGGGCAGCAACCACGGCTGAGCCTTTGGCCCAGAACACCTTCCCCAGGTGTAGCACATTCACAAGCCTCCACACGCCTCTGCTCCTCCCCGTGGAAGCCCAGACGCAATCACGTCGACAGAACCCATGCAAACACTTAGGCATCACCTACACAAACATATGCACTAAACACCCACACGCACATATCACACACACATATATACGTACATCCCGCCCACACGCAAACTCCAACCCTCGCCAAGTAGTGTCCACCTACAAGCATAGGCACGTGCGCACGCAACGACACAAAGCACGCAGGGCCGGCCCAGCTGAGAGAAGGACAAAGGAGGCCACTGGGGACGGCAAGAGACCGGCCCGGGGATCAGATAAACAACAAGAAGCCTCTGTACTGCAAATGCAAACTCTAAAGCCAGAAGAAAAGAACGTTTAAGTGGCCCCCAAATGCCCTCCCCCTCCCCCATCACCCCTGCCCCAGGGGTCAGTCCTGCTCAGGTGGTAAGAATTATTTGGCCCTCAAATTAAAAAAAATTAAAAAGAGGGGCGCCTGGGTGGCACAGTCGATTAAGCGTCCGACTTCAACCAGGTCACGATCTCGCGGTCCGGGAGTTCGAGCCCTGTGTCAGGCTCTGGGCTGATGGCTGATGGCTCAGAGCCTGGAGCCTGTTTCTGATTCTGTGTCTCCCTCTCTCTCTCTGCCCCTCCCCCGTTCATGCTCTGTCTCTGTCCCAAAAATAAATAAACGTTGAAAAAAAAATTAAAAAGAAAAAGAAAAAGAAAAGAATCACCCCAGCCAGGCAGAGCGCAGGATTGAGCACTGATTCTCTGATCAGACTTGAATTTATCCTATGACCTTGGTCAGGCCCCCAGTCGTTCCTGCCCCTCCGTTTGCTCATCCAGGCAGTGCCCCTGTCTCCAGAGGCCTCAGAGCATGAGGGAACTGCCTCTGCCCCCCAGCCTGCAGGCGCAGAGGGGCAAGAAACGTATCCTGAGAGAGCCAGGGACCGAGGAGACTCGAGGCCCAAACCCTGGGGGCCCCCAGCGCAGAAGAGGCCCCAGCAAATTACCTCCTTCTCGGCCTTGGCCTCTTCCACCGTCACCGTGCTGTGATTCTTGTGCTCCTGGAACATGCAGAGGTAACAGATGCAGGTCTGGTCGGTCTGGCAGAAGAGCTCCATGGTCTTGCCGTGCAGGGGACACTTCCGGGCCTCGAAGTCCCGGATGGGCTCGAGCAGCTGGTGGTCGCGGAAGGCGGCGCCCTCCAGGTGGGGCTTGAGGTGCAGCTCGCAGAAGGACGCCTGGCACACCAGGCAGGACTTGACGGCCTTCTGTTTGTTGCCGATGCACGAATCACACAGGACCTCCTCGGAGCCCGACTTGGAGCGCAGGA